AGTACCAAGCTTCTTGATACCCCTATCTGCAAACTTTTTATGTCAGGTTTATTGGAAATTGTTCAATCGCAGCCTATCTTCCAAGGTCATCTACGTGACACAATCTCTGCGCAAATCCAGCAAACAAAGCAACTACTTTCTCGAAACCGACGTACTATAAACCGTCGAATGGAGGAAAGTTCCAGGAGCTCCGTATCGATCTTCACGACCATTTTAGAGGGAGCTCAACCTTTGAATCCCAGCATTGGTGGTTTAATAATATTTGATGGCATAGTTCGCAAGCAAAGCAGTGACATGGTGTGGAAACGCCGTTATCTTTGTATTCGAGCCGAGCTTCAAGACGGGCAGACTTCATCGAATGATATAAACCCGACATTCAAGAGTCTGTCCCTCATTTTGTCTGTCTCAAAGGAGACTATGTGGCAACAGTGTATTCTTACGCCTTTTTCAGAGCTGGAGGATGTGTTTCCTGTTCCAAATAAGTATAACAGTTCGAATGCACCGCATGTGTTCGCAGTGGCGTTTAAAACTGGCAAGCGTCTCTCCTTTCAGGCACGAAATAATGAGGAAAGAGACATGTGGATGTCCAAAATTCAGGACGTTCTTGGTATTGGCGATGAAGAGGGTGAGAATCCATAGAATAGGGAAAAAGTATCACACCATTTTTTGATATGCAATATGTGGTATTCGATCTATTTTAAGTGAAAGAAAAATGAACATTCACATAAATTAACACTTGAGTAGATGGTAAATATGAAACTGGTAAAAAAAATATTGCGTCTACTTTTATATGGATCCTTCATTTGTTCTAAGTACTTCTAATATACTGCTGATCCTTTTTTTAACTCTTGTTCATCGTGTCCTTTCACACTTTTACGATGGGTAGCTTAAGGACTAGTCTTTCTCTTTCTTTTTCGGAATGTGTATTGCAACACATCTGAATATTATTAATTTTCAATCTCTTCTCTTTGCTGCAACATGGTGGACTCAATTTTTTTTAAGGTCCTAGGTCATATTTTTGTACCACATTTCTTTGAT